CAATAAACAATAAGTTAATTAAGAGACTTACGTTTTAGACACCATATTGCTTGTTTTTGCTCTATTTCGCCAACAAAAATCATTCCGAATTGCGTCTCTGAGCAACATGACAGTGTTTCGTCCCTGAATGAATCAACCGTTTAAATGATTCGGTTCAATCGCAATGACTCACTTATTACAGTTTTTCTCAGTCGCTTTGGTGCATTTCTCGAATCATCCTTAATATTTGCACAAATGTATGTGCATTTCTCAATTTTTTGTCAATATCGCACACCCCTAGCCAGTGTTCCCATTATAACACACAAGTACACAATAATATATATATATATACAGTATAACACAATTACACAGGTGAATACGGAAGGATGCTTCAGTCTCGGTGTGGTACGTGTCATATTATTTTGCGAACAAATTATGTTGGACACATTTAGTATGTGCTGTTTCTGACCTTGATTCTGGAGCTGGGGTTGAGCATGATGTATTTGATGGAGCCCTGAATTTTCTCCGTCCACGACACCAGCCACGTGACTTTATTATCATGACGAACTTCCTTCCACCTGGTGCCTGGAGGCGCTTTAGGGTGAACTGAATCTCTGAGGACAACAGACACATTCATCACGGTTTTACTGCTTGTTGAAAACGGTTTCATTCGAACAAGAGAGTGAAATCTAATGTGGAAAACCTGTTATTTTAGAATTTACATTCCTTCTGTTGAAGATCTGTATGAAAGATGTGAACATGCCACATCTGCTGAAGCAAAACAGGACCAGGCTGGTCACAAACACGCTCAGGAAGCGACCCTCTGACACACTCTCAGGATAAACAACTCCTCTATGAGCGGTGAGCAACAACAACAGCAATAGCCAGCTAAATATGTGACTGAGATTCATTCAGACGAACTTTCTCCTCTCTAAACCTACATTCACTAGAGGAAGAATTCCTCAGGTCAAGTGCTCTGATCAGCACAACCAATTCCTCCGATTATTATCCACTAAACTAACACTTGTGAGAAAGCAGTGTGCTTAACTGTATTGTATGTGCACTTCAGATCTGTACTTGCAGGTAATATAATAATAATGACATAAAAGGCCACTTAAGTGTACTTAACTTTCACGACTGTTTCATAACACACTTTGTCGATTTAAAAGTTTTAGTTTTTAAATTATGTTTTAATAATCTTTTGTCATGCAAAGAAGTGCACTTATTTTGAAGTGTTGACTAACATACTAAAACACATGTAAAGTTCTTGATCTTAATTTGAACCGTTGAAGTGTGTTATTTGATATTACTGTACATTTAAAGTTAATATATTTTAAATGTACTAAATTGCAACTTCATCATTACAATGTAATTAAGAAAATATATAAAAATACTTAAAGTTTCAATAGAAAAGTTTAGTTTTTTTAATACAAAAAAAACATGTATAGTCCAGTTCAACCACATTTCTAAGGCAAAAGAATTGTGAAACGAAATATAAAAATGTACTTGTGTCGATATGTAAGTGTCAAAAGCACTCTTAAGTTCAACTAACTGTATTTAATATGAATTTAAACTGTAATACATTTTCACGCATTTGCAATTAACATGCAAAGAAAAGTATATTATTTCTGTAAATAGTACAGATATTGTAATCATATACTTAGCATACGTTAAAAAAAGTATGCTAAGTGTACTTTGTTTTCACAAGGAACACAGCACCTGTGGCAGAAAAACTAATAATAATAATGTCTCAGCTAGATCCCACGTTTCTTCACATCAGTCTTCATAACTTATTACATTACATTATATAGACATTTATACAGATATTATACTATGCTGCCAAGTGAACATGGTATAAGTGGACAGACAGACGGATGGAAAGAGAGACAGACAGACAGATAAATGATAGATAGACAGACAGACAGACAGACAATAGACAGACAGACAGACAGATGGATGGAAAGAGAGACAGACAGACAGATAAATGATAGATGAGATAGACAGACAGAAAAACAGACAGACAGATAGATAATAGACGATAGACAGATAGACAGACAGACAGACAGACGACAGACAGACAGACACAGACAGACAGACAGATAGACAGAGAGACAGAGAGATAGATAGATAGATAGATAGATAGATAGATAGATAGACAGACAGATAGATGACAGACAGACAGACAGATAAAGACAGACAGACAGACAGACAGATAGATAGATGACAGACAGAAAGACAGATAGATGACAAGAAAGACAGACAGATGATAGACGACAGACAGACAGACAGACAGATAGATAGATAGATATAGATAGATAGATGACAGACAGACAGACAGACAGAAAGATAGATAGATAGACAGACATACAGACAGATAGATAGATAGACAGACAGACAGACAGACAGATAGATAGATATAGATAGATGACAGACAGATAGATAGATGACAGACAGAAAGACAGAGAGAGAGATAAGATATAGACAGACAGACAGACAGACAGACAGATAGACAGACAGACAGACAGACAGACAGATAGATAGATAGATAATGGATGGAAAGAGAGACAGACAGACAGATAAATGATAGATAGACAGACAGACAGACAGACAATAGACAGACAGACAGACAGATGGATGGAAAGAGAGACAGACAGACAGATAAATGATAGATAGACAGACAGACAGACAGACAATAGACAGACAGACAGACAGATGGATGGAAAGAGAGACAGACAGACAGATAAATGATAGATGATAGATAGACAGACAGACAGACAGACAATAGACAGACAGACAGACAGATGGATGGAAAGAGAGACAGACAGACAGATAAATGATAGATAGATAGACAGATAGACAGACAGACAGACAGACTATAGACAGACAGAGATAGATAGATACAGATAGATAGATAGATAGATAGATAGACAGACAGATAGATAGATAAATAGATAGATAGAACAACAAACAGACAGATAATCTACAATCTAGACAAAGGACTTTGAAGAAAATCGAATATAAGTTTTCACCTTTTTATCAATACATAATTCCCATACATCCACTTATGTTATTTTATAGTTTTTACTAGGGGTGGGCGATATGACCAAAATCTTATTTCATGGTATGAGAAATTGTATTTCAAAACAATAATATATATATATATCATTGTCTTAGCCACTCCCACTGATCAACCAGCTGTCTTTTGTGATTGCTTATTGATTGCTAATTATTTAAGAAGACTTGTAGATCTACACTTTTAACAATTTTAATGACTTAGCCCAGTTAAAGGCTTTTTATCTTTATTATATGAGTGCCTTGGAGTATTTAATCTTTT